ATCGTTGATCCCAAAATCACTTTAATAACTTTAACACCCGCTGTTCTCCCCTTCTCATACAAAATTCGAGATTTCCTCCCCCAATTCGTGAGAGTAAAAATTTGGAAAAGAAATGACGATACTCTCGACGATACTCTCGACGCTGGGAAACAAGCATATCGTGTACGACACAAGGTTAGAAACGAGATCGCTGCGAAAATACAATCAACGACACTTTTTCTCCTGTACCAACCGACTTGTACATTTATACACACGTATAATTTGAAGATTGAGAGAAGAGTGAGAGAGAAAGAGAGAGCGACGTGTATAAAATATCTAAGGGCGGAAAGGCATCGTCGATATTATCCTCGGAAAGTACGCGTCAATTTGAAGCGCTATAGGGAGGGGGGGGGGGGAGAAAGGATCGCGCTTCACCAAAGAAACATAGCTTGAGAAATTTGGAGAGAAGCATCCGGCGATCGTAATCGGTGGTGGAAATATGTACGCAGCTACGTTTCCTTTCTTCCCGTGAGAATGTCCCGATCTTGATGAACTCTTGCGGGTTTTATTGAACCCAGGAGGCAGGTACCCAGAGCGGTTCCGACTCGACTCGATGGACAGCGTTCACCAGCTGTTCAAACGCCATGGAAAGATCGGCGTTCACGATCACCTCGTCGAACAGATGAGTGTAGAGGAATTCGATTCTCGCGGCGCTGTGCAGGATTTCGTGGAACTCCTCGTCCTGAAAGAGCGAGACTTTCGGAAAGTGCGGGACTCGGAGGAGGATTCACGCTTGTTCGCTTACCGTGAAACCTCGAGAGTTGCTCTCGTCGAAAGTCGACCTTGCTCTGGCGTCGTTCCTCGTCTCTTTCAATATTTCAAACCTCGGCGGCTTTATGTATATCACGTACGGCTTCGTCTGCGGAGTCCGCAGCATCTTCAGGGCCTGATAGTGAGGGTTCAACAGACACACGTAGCCGGCGTTTATCAACGAGCTGACGCTCTCGCAACTGGTGCCGTACAGATTCCCCTTGTACTCGCCGTATTCGATGAACATGCCAGCCTCGATGTCCTCTTCCATCTTCTCGCGGCTGATGAAATGATACTCTTTGCCGTTGACTTCGCCGGATCTCGGTGGCCTCGAGGTGTCTGAAGAGAATAAATGACCTCGATCAACGAAAGAAAGAAAAAACTCGACCGCAGCTTTGCTTTGAATTGAAACAACTGACGATGTACTATGATATATGTACGATGATGAGAGGGGAAAAAGCACGCGCGGAAACTTACAAGGAACAGGTGTCTTGTACTTATCGGGATCGGTGGCCATGAGCCGCCTCTTCAGCTCGTTTCTGCCTACACCCGGTGGCCCGATCAGAACCACCGGCCGGTAGAGGCCCGGTCTCGGATAGAGCTTTGCGACCTCTTCGTAGGTCGGTATTTCTTCCCGGTCGAAATCGTCGTTCTCTGCAGCGTCATACATGATTTTTTTAGTTTTTACTCCCTGCAAGTTGCACTTTGTAGGCGAGGCGTGTAAAGAGGTACTGGGACGGGGGCACAATGCGGGCAAAGGCACTGGAACAGAACACAAGCCTAACCGACGGTTAGGTCGTCAGGCCATCATCCGTTGAGAAGAGCAAGCGTGACCAGTCCACGGACGGTTTCTTTCCGCGATTCGTATATTCTACTTTAAGCTCTGTACTTTCGTGCAATTTCACACTTTACTTTTTCTCTCTTTCTCTCTCTCTCTCGCATTGTGAAACGTATGTACGTACTGTTAACACGTTCCGTGCCAAG